AAAATTTACATATAGGTTATATTTAGTTCATATCATTGATATAAGTACGGTGTTAGTTAAACCAATAATAAAGGAAAAAAAAAATAAGAAAAATAAACCCACTTGTTGAGTTTATATATAATTTATATTTTAAACTAAACATATAGACGGCCACAAGATTGTATTAGTTGTATACTTTGAGTTTATTATTTGTTTATATATGATTGCATATTGTTACGCATCTATAAATGGTTATCCTTTTTAAGTTGCCCTCAGCCCTCACTTCATAATGTAAACACGGCTATTTGTTTCTGTATTGCTTAACTCTTCTTGTGACATCTTAAAATAGAAAAACTTGACAAAGTATTATAATGTTATTAATTTAATTTAGGAGCACTTTTTCCATTCTTAAATAGTATGCAGGGGATGATCTCACATTATATTTATCTTGATACGATGAGTTGATCTAGAAACCACGAAAACAATTCAACTCAACTCATAAAATGTTCATACACTTCAAAAGCTAAGCTCGAATATTCAATAGAGTTTGTTTATTAAATAATCACGAGTTCGAACATAAGATATCCAACTTGACTCGAATTGAATAATATATCTAACTAGACGCCAAACATAAAGAAACCAAAGTTGACAAAATATGAAAATAATTCTTTTTACAAGTTAAATGAATGAAAATATGTTATAAAAACTTATTGAATGTCAAAACTTAATTATGAAAAATCATAAATTTAATTACATAATAAATAATTTAGTAGAATTCTAAAAGAAACAAATTATAAAAAATAAAAATATAAAGCAATTGATACATTCGATATGCAATGTAATATAAGTTACATAATAACTAATATTATATCGAATAAAATAATTCAATATAACGCCACCGCATCTCCTTCAATGAGTCAACCACCTCCTCCGCGACAATTGCCACTCACTGTCGGGCTCCAGTCAGAGGGTCAGTCTCATTGTTTAGCCACTGATATGTGGTATTACCTAAATATAATAAATTATAAATATTCATAAAAATATATAATACAAATATTAATAAATAAATTGATCATATTCATTAATTTCTATTTATAAAATTAAATCAACTTCATTATCAATTTAAATTTTAAGTGTTCGAATTAATAATTTTATTTTTCCTCTTTCGTAGATTGATTATAATTTGTTGATAGGTGTTTTCAGATTTTACAATATGGTACGAATATAATTCGATATTTTGTGTGTCATTGGAGCTGAGCAATAATGATATCCAATATTATGTTAATACTGACCAAGAACTTTGTGAAGAAGAAACTTGAACAAGCAGTTTCAGATAAAATTTCTTTCTGCCCCGTAATAATGGTATGGTTTGTTAATCAAGAAAATGACACGTGTCTCATAAGGAAAGTTTCTAAGAAGATTTTAGCGGTGGACGCGCCACGTCATCCCTTCTTGCAACTATAAAATATATGCACATTCAGTGTGCAAAATCACACATCACTCGCACACAAAAAGTGATTATTGAAAATAAATATAAAAGTATATAAAAAAAATGTCTAGCACTCAGGGTCAGGTTATCCGCTGCAAAGGTGATTGATTTTATTAAGGGATTAAGTGATTTTTTTTTTATTTTTTATTTTTTTGAATTATATGTTGTGATGAAAATAGCAATGACCATGGATCCAAATTTATTATTTTGTTTAATTTATTTCTTTCTGAGTTTTTTGTTAATAATTTATTAATAAAGCAAATATGATATTTTGGGTTGATATTTTTCCAATTCAATGTTGTGTTTGAACTGTTTTTCTTTTATATAATTTCTTTGGATCATCATTATAATTATTATTAAAAAAAAAAAAAGAGATTAATAGATATGAATTATATATATTATGATGTTATTGATTAGCTAAAGATATGCTTTGTTGGTATTGAGTTTAATTAGAAGAATGGTGGGATCAATTGATCCAATATGTAATCATGAATTGGCTAAAATAATTTAAATATTTTGTGTGTATTCGTAGCCGCCGTGTCATGGGAGGCCGGAAAGCCTCTGGTGATCGAAGAAGTTGACGTGGCACCACCTCAAAAAATGGAAGTTCGTCTCAAGATTCTATTCACATCCCTTTGCCATACCGATGTTTATTTCTGGGAAGCCAAGGTACATACTTAATTAATTTAGCAAAGTCGTAATTTTAAATTGTTAATTACATTTATAGATCATTTTTCTTATAATATAAGTTGATTCTATTATAACAACGTAGAACCTTAACCTAATTAGGCCTCAATTTCATGAGAAACTTGAACTATTATTGTAATTTAGTTTTACAGTTTATTAAAAATGAATATTTATTGTTTTGCATTTTAGGGCCAAACACCTCTATTCCCTCGCATATTCGGCCACGAAGCCGGAGGGTACGTAACTATCTAAATCAAATTTCATTTGATTTTCCAAATTAGAAAGAAATCAATTTATTGTTATATATTTTTCACATTGCTCGATTTCTTTGCGCATATATATATAGAATCGTCGAGAGTGTAGGGGAAGGCGTGACGGACCTCAAACCGGGCGATCACGTCCTCCCCGTGTTCACGGGCGAATGCAAAGAGTGTCGCCCTTGCAAATCGTCCGAGAGCAACATGTGCGACCTTCTCCGAATAAACACCGATAGAGGTGTGATGATTGAGGACGGCAAAACGAGATTCTCGAAAAACGGCCAACCCATCCACCATTTTCTCGGCACATCGACTTTTAGCGAATACACTGTTGTTCATGTCGGGTGTGTCGCTAAAATCAACCCGAAAGCCCCACTCGATATCGTTTGTGTTCTTAGTTGCGGAATTTCCACCGGTTTGAACTCGAAAAAATAAAACTTTCGTAAATTTGATGTGATTTTTCCACTTAATGTTCAATTTTTGTTGATATTTGGGCTTTTTAAGGACTCGGGGCGACTTTGAATGTGGCCAAGCCGACAAAGGGCTCGACGGTTGCAATTTTCGGATTAGGGGCCGTAGGTTTAGCTGTGAGTATATATATATGTTCAATTTAATTAGGGCTTATAGATGATTGTTTTGTGATTTAACAAGTTAATTAACATGTTTTATTGACTCTTGAGTGTTTAATTTATATGTTGAATTTAATTAGGGCTTGTAGATCAGATTGTTTTGTGATTTAACAAATTAATTAACATGTTTTATTGATTATTGAGTGTTCAATATAATTGCTAACCAGGCTGCCGAGGGGGCTCGCATTGCTGGGGCTTCGCGAATCATTGGCATCGACTTGAACACGAGTCGTTTTGATGAAGGTTATTAAGAAGCCGCGATTTTTTTAGAGTAATTAATTTGATTTATAGCCTTGAAACAATTTTGTTAATCATCATCTCTTATTAATTTCTCCCTCACAGCAAAGAAATTTGGTGTGACTGAATTTGTGAACCCAAAGGACCATGACAAGCCTGTTCAAGAGGTTGGGGCCATTTATGTTACATATCTTTTGCTCTATACATTTTTGTTTTTTTTNTGTCTTGTGGTGCTGTCTTTGCCTGATCACAAATAGTTGGATCATGGTGAAGGAAAACAAAAGATATAAAATTTTGGAATGTGAGATTTTTTTTTTTTTATTTTTTTTTTTTCATTTCGTGTTTTTGTGTGGTGTCGATTGACAGGGTTGGGGTGTGGCCGTGTTGGTTGGGGTTCCGAACAAAGACGACGCATTCAAGACTCATCCGGTGAACTTGCTCAATGAGAGGACTCTCAAAGGGACCTTTTTCGGCAATTATAAGCCGAGGAGCGACATTCCTTCTGTGGTCGAAAAGTATATGAACAAGGTAAACTAAAATGTGGTAATATTTAGTAAATAGTCTTATCATTTTTATATCTACTTTTTGTGAAAGTTACAAAATAATCGTCATTTGCTTTGTGTAATGACACAATTACCCTTCCTAGAATTCAAGATTTCTATAAATGGTTTCTGTAAGGGTAATTGTGTCGTAAGGGTAATTGTGTCGTCGTACAGACCAAATGGCTATTATTCCTATTTTCATAAAAAATGGCTATATTTTTATCTTTCTATTCGATACTTTTATATTAAACCAAGACACTGAAGTAAATT